GTTCATTTGTTGTGCAATCTGGGGTAAACCACTGATGCTTTCTGGGCTTCCATCTCCTGATCTGATAGTGCTTTGGCAGCTTTGTGTTAGCCTGATCAGTGCTGGCGGTACACATTATTATTACAGCTGAGTGACATCACTCTGTGCCCCCCGCCCTTGACATCTTCCTGGCTTAGTGGCTTGGTGCAGAATTATAGGGGAGAGCATGGCCAACTGAAGACCAACAGCAGCCAGGAAGCAGTAGTGGATGGATGCTCCTTGGATCTCTCCAGTTATGTAATGATGCAACTCCATCCTGCCTGGCTAGCCTCTGTGATGTGGCTGCAGACGGAGAACTGGTGGAGAACAACACCTCCATGAATGTCTCAGCTCCATCTTATACAAGCAGTGGCTTTAGATGTCCTTTCTAAAGACATGCTTGAGAAAGAGGAATTCAAACTAGAAGAGGTGCAGAAAAGGGCTGCTGGGATGAGCGGGGGAATGGAGGGCTGGCTTTGTGGGAAGAGGGGAGAAAAGCTTGGTTGTTCAGTCTAGCCAAATGAAGGCTGAGGGGATATCACTCTTTAAAATGCATGGCGAGGGGGATAAACCCTGGGGAGGAGAGAGAACTGTTGAAGCTAAAGGACATTATTAGCCTGAGAACAAATGGGAATAAACTGTCCATATATTACATTTAGACAGGAAATTAGGTTGTGGAGATGCTTCCTAATAGGAGAATTGGGGGATGCACCTGAACTCTTTCTAAGATTGAATGAGATCAGTTCAGGAAAGGGAATATGTGACCTTCCCATCCTAGCGAGGCTGTTCCTTCCAGTCTTGTGTTCATAGGTTTTCCCCAGTCAAGGGTATTCCCAGATGTTGCCCTTCTGCTGCCACTGCTGCACTTGGGGCCAAGGCAGTGGACTGGCTTTTTTCCCCTCTGTGCTTGTACAGCACCTAGCACAGCAGCAGCGTGGCCTGTGACTGGGGCTCCCAGCTTCCCCTCTGCTATCAATACTAAATAGCAGTGCTGTTTGTTTTGTCTCCGCTGTACTTTTCTAATTATCATGTGACTTTCACTTCTCCTTCCCGCCACACAGACGTTTCCCCTTTTTTCTTTCCTTTGGAATTTTTTCTTTCTCACCCCTTCTGAAGGGCTCAGCAGATTGCCCTGCCCTCGGCCATGCCGAGCGCTCTGGGGGAAAAGCGCTCCCAGGCTTGCTCCAACGCCAGCTGGGCTCCTCCTGGTGCGAGTACCACGGGAATCACTGGTGCAGGCCTGCTACTGGTCACCCCACCTGCTCTGCTCAGATAAGCAGTGTGAGCTGAAAAACGCTGGTGGCTGATCAACATTTGTGATAGCATCCTGCAGTACTAGCACAATGGCGGTTCTCGTGCGATACAATCTTGACTGCGCTTGCAGGCAATAATGCTCAGATTTAGCGGATGCTCAGACATACCATGATGTAAACTAGCAAATCCATGCTTAATGCTGGGAACCCTGGATTTACAGGGTTGAACAGAGAAAACCTTGGCCCAGCAATCCCAAATTACAGTGTGGCAGGGCTGTTGATACACTCCTGAAGTTACCGGTGTCCACCTGTGACAGATCCCTGCTTTTGTGTAACAGCTGCGTGCACCGCCCAAAAACCCAGAGGGAAAGGCTGCCATTGACTCAGTGGGCACAGGCCCACCCATTAGCAACCCTTGACCCTTTTCAGAGGAAGTAGGTGTCCTTAGGTGCTCCATACCCTTCGAATACATCGTTCTTTTCTGGCATAAGCACATTCTTAAAGGAACGCTGGGATTTGATTCTTGCATTACTTGAACAGCCCTACCACTCTGTTCACTTGTTTAAATCAGGCATAAAGCTCTAACTGTTCTTTGAATATTTATAACCAGTTTTTATCTCATGCCATGCATACAAAACATATTTGATTTCTTTCCTAAAAGTTTTTTCAAGTGCAAAGTTTTAAAAACATGTGGCTTTTATTGCAGGCAGGAATGAATAACAGCATTCCACACGTAACCACATTAAATGGAACAGTAATATTCATATGCGTAAGGGCAAAAGCTGCCTTGTTTCCTATTTGCAATTGAACTCTGAAATTAATTAAGAACTAAAAGGATCTGACAGTCATTAGTATCTTTTAAGGAGTGGAAGTGGCAGATGGGACCCATGCTCCAAGAAGCTTCAGCCTGCTAGCGACAGCACAGAGATGTGAGGGCTGAGCGGGACCTTATTTCTATGCTGTGACCGGGGGGAGGGTAATTATGGTCTTGAATAATTAAGGGTGGGGATGTAAGTAATTTAAGAAGCACAAATCTCAAGTCAGTGACACTTGTGTTCCTAAGTCACTTGGCTGCTTTTGAAGTCTCACCTGAAATGATTGTCCATTTTGACTGGATTCAGGTACTCTTGAATAGTTATTCAAAAGCATGCAGCAAGATGCTTGCAGACAAGACTGATGTGAGAAAAGAAGCGTGTTCTGGGCTCGGTTCTCTCCTTGCTAATGTTTGCACATCAGAGTAACTCTATGGATACCAAATAAACGCATGAGAGCTCCCACCGCATGTGAATAAAGAAGCAGGCTCCCTGTGCCTTCAGTAAGCATGTGTGGTTGGAGGTGAGAGAGACTTGGTTATCCTCTTATTAACATTGGTGTAAATCAGGATTGGCTCCATTGCAATCCATGGAGTTAACACTCAAGTAAAATGGATGTAAACAGAAAGAAACCGGGACAAGGTTGCAGAGCAAGCCTATAAATAGAATCAGATCTATATGGGGACTCTCCCCAGTCCAAGGCCTGTGCTTTAACCATTAGACCAACAAGCCCTCCTGGCCCTGCTGATCCCAGTGGTGAAATCCTGGCCCTGCTGAAGCCAACAGAAACGTGCTATTCACCTTACAGGGCTGGGATTTCATGTACAGGAGCTCGAACTCCAGCTGGAGTCCTCCTTGGAGCACTCGTGTTCAAGTAGTGTACGATTTTGGGGGATGGCTCCCCTGATGCTAAGGGTTTGAACTGGCTCTAGTCATGACAACCCCCGAGCCTTGCGCACTTCCACTGCAGTTGTCACAGTTGCATCGAGTTGGTGGCTTCTTATTGTTTGCTCCGTGGAAGCAAAACTCCCCTTGGCTTTTCCTTAGATTGCAAATTCTTTGGGGTAAGGATCATCCTTTTATTCTGTGCTTGTCCAGAGCCCAGCACCAGGCACTTAGCCCGGGAGCCAGGGCTCCATGTGTTGCAGGGCAATACAAATGTAATAACATCAAATCTAAGAGTTACTCTGGGGTTACAGCATGTCACAGTGGCATAGCCCTGTGGACCCAGCATCTGCTGTTTGATTTATGAATGAACGACACGCCCCTTCCCTGCACACTGCTTTCAGATCCTGTCCTTTAACTGTAAAATAGATCCAGACACCCAAATGACTCTACTGAGAGCTTTGCTCTTGAGAGGTCTGGGACACAGTATGTGATGAATTTTTAATAGAAAGCTTCCTAGAAGGCCGTGCATTTGCTTCCTTGATGTTAAAGCGCATGGATCTGCTGCTAAATACCAGCTCAAATGAATTAAAAACTACAGAGGATATTGTAACTGAAGTAATCCCAGCAAGCAGTGATTTAAAGGGCTTGCTGACCTCCCTGAAACATGAACAGTAGCTTTTAAGAATTAAGTATTTCAGATGAGGCACATGGAAATCCCAGGTCTTAGCTGTTATTAACCTTCTTTTAAAAATGCATTTAGTACCAAGGGGGAAGGCTTAACTATTAAGAGCTCTGAAACCCATCCCCACACGTCGATGCATACTGCTTGGCAAAGGAATAAAGGCTGCCTGGCTCGGGGAGGTGAAGCCAGGCCCACGGTAGAGGGTGTTCCTTTTTTTGTCATGTCCACAGCAGCCCCCTGGATGATTGCTGGGGAAGCTAGAGAAGGGCTGCAGGTTTGGGACCTGCATTCCACCACTTTTTAAGACAAATGGGCCTGATTTTTCCTCCCTGCTCACACAGGTACAAATGAGGAGTAGCTCTGTTGAGATTCATAGATTCATAGATTCATAGATTAAGGGTCGGAAGGGACCTAGTAGATCTTCTAGCCCGACCCCCCGCCAGGGCGGGAGAACAACAAAAACCCCAAAAAGAGAAATGGGACTCAAACGAGTCCAGCTAGGTGGGCATCCAGCCTCTTCTTAAAGACCCCCAGGGTAGGGGCCAGCACCACTTCCCTTGGAAGTTGGTTCCAGCTCCTAGCCGAGACTTCAAAAGCAGCCAAGAGATAAATAGGGCTGCACTGGTGGGAGGGGAAAAAAGAATCAAGCCCTTAAGCTTCCTTGAGTGCAAGGGAGTCTTGCACAAGAAGTGTTTTCTGGGTAGGCAGGAGGGAGTGTGCCTCTGCTATGACTCCCTTTTGCCAAAGGAACCACCAGGCAACCATGAATTGGGCACTGTCTCCCTTGGCAGGGGCACCTGGCATCACTGAGCATTTTGGAAAATGCAAGGCATTGATTCCCATTCTGGCTTGCGCCTTGTGTCCTCATTCAGGGCATTGCCGCCTGGGTGTGAAGTGCTACCGGATCGGAGTGGCAGCAGGTCGCGCCCCTCCTGTGCTCACTATGCACGTGTGTAAATGAAGAGTTGAGATGCAGAGCAGAGGAGAAGTCTGCCCTCAGTTGCACATGGCCATTCACCAGTCACCTCTGCCTCTGATTGCAGGAATGGCTCCACGAGGATGAAAATCAAAATCTTTGTTTGAAATAGCTTGGTTAGAAATAGCTGGGTTAGCTCCAGGATGCAGTCGTGGAATCATAGGATTGGAAGGGACCCCAAGAGCCATCTAGTCCAGCCCCCCTCACGAACACAGGAATGCTCCTAAAACATCCCTGGCCTTTGCTTATGCAACCTCTTCTTGAAAACCTCCAGTGAAAAAGATTTCACAACTTCCCAGGGCAGTCTGTATCCTGGGCAGGCTAGTCCACATGCTGCAGCACTGATCTTCTTCCCCCAGACAGCTACAAAAATGGAGGTGGGGACCACCAAGCCAGAGCAGGGCCCCGTGGAGTGAGAGGGACGTGTGACTTCGGCAGTGGCGGGTCCTGCTACGTTCTGTTCAGCCGTGTTTGTCACCTGCGGTATTTTCAGAGTATTTCTACATGATGTCTTGTGTGCTAGGAGCATAACCTCAGGTGCCTTCTTTTTACTCGTTTTCATAAATCTCAGGTATTGATGTCTTCCAAAAAGAATCTGATAATGATGATCCATCAACTGACCTTTGTCACCAAGTAGAAAAGAAAAGCCCACAATAAGCGTTCTCTCTCCTACTTATTTATAAGCGCTGTCTTGACACGCACATCTAGCAGTAGTGATTGCGGAGCCCCCTAATACTTCACACTCCTCTTCTCTGCCTGACCGGTGGTGGGAAAACTTTTGCTCCCTAGTTCTTGCAAAGTGCTCAGCTGACTGCTTACTTCAGGCCACCTTGATGCGTGGTTATAAGAGGGCTGACCCTCTCGGGGGCCGGGCTACAGCGCCTGCGTTCTGGCTCCTGTGAATGTTACTGTTACAGTGGGACAGGCCTGGCCGCGAGTCCTGTTGTACCAGGAACCGTACGTGGGCAGAAGGAAGGGTGAATTCCTGCCCCAAAGAGCTTCACTTGAGAGGTGCGGCACACCCAGGTATAGACACGGACAGCACCTGGCCTGCGGACTGCAGTCAGGAAACGCAGCTCTCACCCGCTTCTGGGGGAGATGGGCCCATCCGCTCCAACGGGAATGATTTGGAGGCTGCTTTTAATATGCTTCTCTTCTTGCCCCTTGCCCACTCCCTTGAATCTCTTTCCAGGGGCTGTTTTGCCTTTCGCTCAGCCCACAAACTCCTACGTACCCCATTCTGTTTGGGCGTGCGAAAGCCAGGACCCTTTTTGGTCCGTTAGGGTTATAACAGGGGTGATGCCCTGCCCCAGGGTTGCCCTGTCGGGTGCTGTGGCTGTAGACGGGAAAAGAGAATCGGTCACCTTTCTGCTGCAGATTTTAACATCCTCCGGTCAGGGTGGGGCCGAGGAAGGGGCGGATGGCACCTGTTGTTCCTTCTTTCTGTGGGTGTTATAGCTCAGAAATAACCACTTTTCAACAACACTTGGGTGGGACCTTTCCTTTGAGAAAGGGCAGGACATTTAAAACAATCAAAAAAGCCTCAAATATCAGTTTGAGTCTTGAATAAGGCAGGTCCTTAAAAGGTCCCTACAAAAAAGGAGCTGTCTTGTTCAGGAGTCAGACTGAGATTGGAGGCTTATTTGATTGTTTTAAATGTCCTGTCTTTTCTTTTAGCTCTGGTTGTTTTTTCTTCTAGAAAAGAAGACAGGAAGCTAAACATCAGGGTTTAAGGGACTCTGTGCACGGATCTGGGTGCAGATTTCTCCAGGTGCTCAGCCCTGACAGTTGCAGTCGTTTGAAGCCCCGCACTCATTTCAGGGCCTGCCAGCCGACTCCTTTGCGAACACAACGAGAGGGGGCAGGATGTGCGTATTCTCCGCTGCCCCCTTGGTCCAGACCCCTAATTGCCCAGGGTTAAATCTCTGATCTCCTCTTAAGTGTTCAGAATAGATCCGCGTTAAAGGTGAAAATTATTTTGAAATGACAGGGGTGAACACCGGGGACAGCGCGCAGTCCAAGCGGGAAGTGCATCCCCGAGCCTAGAGGTGTGGGCTGCCCGGGCGCCTCCCGTGGTTCAGCGGCGCTGGGGGGCCGAGG